TTAAACAATTACCATGTATTGTATTTAAATTTACATTTAAATAGTTTTATATATTACGTGCCATATTCTTCAAGCTATTGAAATTCGGAAATTCCGAAGGACGTGGCCAGTTCGTTACCAATGCATTTTTTTAGACGTTCGAAGAAACTAAAAAGAAACTTTAATTATGTGTATAGTCATATCGTAAATTAATTGATTCTTACAACAGGATGATATTAATTATTATTTTTTCTAGTCTGCCTAAAACTTTTGCGGAATTTTCTCATTTCCTTGAACTTTACGCATTCCAAGTAAAACATTTTTGTTACATAATAATGACGTTAAATAATTAAACCTGATACTGAGCAAAAGGAAATAGAACTTATATATTTGAGAAAAAAACTTTAACGGTACTACTCTCATGGACAGCTTCTATTACGTATTGCTTATGAGGTAATAAGCATTATGAAGTAACAAATTTTTGCTGAGTTTGGCGCTTCGCTAGTTAATATATTAATTGTGTCGCAAATTACAGAATATCTCGCATGATATTTCTTAATTCATTAGAAATGCTCGCGGCAATAGCATTTCGTTTACGTGTTGTTAAATTTCAGATTTTTCTTCAGAATCTCTCACTGAAGAATCGTAGTCGAGAGATTCGCATTATTATTCCTTGGAAACTTATTAATTCTGTTACGCTTCGGGAAGCAATATAAGCACGTTGCATGAGAAAGCGATCTGAAACGTGGTCATTAGATATTAACATCGTGTATAATAAGAGTATAAAAGTGTCTGCAATTACAATGTAGTTAAAAGTATGATATATTATTGTGCAATCATGATAAAATAACCAAATAAAAGTTAAATTAAAAATTTTGAAATATATTTTATTATTATGGCATTATCCTTTATTCATTAATTTATCGATTGAGCCTAAAATTTTCTATACATTATATTATTACTAGACATAACTGACTTTCTATTAAAATTCTGTCTAAGAATTTATTCTCTCATTTCGAAATATGACCTCTTCATTCATAAATATGATGATCTCAGTATGATTTATCGGTTAAATTGACGATTCATTAAATTCATATTCTCGAGCTCTCATTTCTTTCGACTGATGCATCAGAATTATTTAGTGCATTCTTTTGTAAACACGCAAGATAACATGAGAGGAAGTTATTTTGTAGATAATTTTTTGTTGTTAATTATGCTTATGATTATTTATTTGTTAGAGTTCTTAAGAAATTTATTGTTAGAATGTAAAGAATAATTTTTCGCCATTATTTAAAATTTCGAATCCGTAAATGTAAACGTTCTGGAATAACTCGTTAGTAATATTTGGGTGATGCGAGGAACAAAGTGATAGCAATAATGCACTTGTGACTTTATAGACAAAATTTTCACCATTTAAATGTCACGAGGGCACCGAAGCTGTTTGTGGTCGATGCGTTAACAGCCATATTAATCCATCGTTGTGCCGTGTATATCAGATGTTTTTCTTATCTTCATATCTCAATAAATTACCTGTCAAGGTCACTCTATGAATTATGCGTATGTCTCATTGATTGAATTTGTATCAATTATTGTAAGAAATATATTAACGAATATGGTAAGATAAATTTATTGTAAGAAATTTGAAATTCCATAACTATTTATTTAAAATTATTTATAGTTGTAATTATTTAAATTAAAGAGAATATATATA